TGTGATTTAAAAAACTAACTCGTATTTAATTGTAATGTAAAAAAAAAAAAGTATTAAATAGGCCATGAGATGACATAAAAATGAGGTTGAATAAATTTAAATACAGGTAGGTCTATAGTATTATGAAGGTACAGAATTACAGTACTACTTTTAATAAAATTTGTCTTAACTAGGTTTTCGATTGTGATTTCCATCCCCATTATCATCCCGGACAATCGAGAGTTGAATGTATATGCATACGTATGAAAATACCGAGGCATTAATACACACCCTGCAGTGATAAAAACATGCCTAAAAACTAGCCAATACCATGCTTGCGTGCCCATCCCACCTAACTACTTTTCAAACAATCTAACGGTTTTTTTAAACAGTATGAACATCATGACACTGGAGACTAACCAACTTCACATTTTTTAGCATCCTACCACCAGAGTGGGTGAACTTCCGATGCAGGAGCAACTCTAGCACTCTTTAACAGAGGATCACAAAATTCTAGTGTTTTTTGTATAACATAAAACATAGTGGGCACATGAAACCTATACTTACTTTATTTTTATTTGGTTATAACTAGGAACCAGATTTTTATGCCCTAATAATCCCTTAAATATGTATGCATTTATGCCTGAAAAACTTCCGAAATGTGCACTAAAATATGCATATAAAAATTTATACCAAATATTAAAATTGATTTTACAGTATTTTAAGACCAACAAATCAATGTTTAAGTTCATTTTATGTAATCACTGAATGATTCACTTGCAATAAGAAGATATAATTAGATACAAATCATGCAACAGAGCCAACACATTTCATTACAAATTTAAAAAACCAATGGCACTCACACTTAGCTCTCTGAACTTTCAACTTCTCTTCTGCTGCAGTTCACAATTACTAAATGTTTTAGGTTTTCCATAGTTAGTGGCCTCCTATTGTCTCATAAGATGTCCTTATAGCCGGAAAAACTTCTTTCACCTGGCAGGAACTTAGGGGGCTCATGTACAAAAGCCGCTATTTGTTCCACTGTTAGTGATTTTTTACTTGGCAGTTCAGTACATTTACCGGCTAAAATTTCTTCAATTTCACAAATTTGTTCATATCCTGGATTTTTTTAAAGAATGCTGTGTACATTGTCCTTTACTACCTCACCAACTCTTCCAGGAACCGAATTCAATTTGGAAGCAGTGGTTTTGAACACGCTTAACGACTGATACAGAGTAGTATTGCTACTGCTTGCCTCCAGTGAGGAAATGGCGGATAGCAGATGAGAGAAGTGAAGTGAGCAGATATATAGGAAAGATTAGTTTCTAGTTCTGCGTTTTTAGTACATCTAGAGCAATTTGAATTGATGCTGCACTTTTGTGATCAAATGTATTCACAACATTCCTAACAGTTTCTAAATGTTCGCTGCACACAACCACATGCTCCAACGTGTTAAACTTGGTTCTGGCAGAAGTGGACCGCTCGGTGCTATTGCTTTAAAGGCTTCTTTTCTGTATGCTGCTTTAACAAATACCTTCTTCACAGAAGACACCAACTTGTCAACAAGCGGAAAATTTGCACGAATTGTTTCTGCAACACGGTGCAACCCATGAGCAAGGCAAGTCAAATGTGTCATATTTGGAAATATAACTTTAAGAGCAGTACCGGCTTTCATCATATAACTTGCGGCATCAGTCACAAAGAGCAATACGCGCTCATACTGAATGCCATTCGGCCATAGTACCTTCACGGAATTCATAAAAAATTCAGAAACTGCAGAACTATTTGTGGTTTCAAATTGCTCTACCACAAGAAGATATGGGGTAGATTGTTCATTCTTATTAAGGGATCCAACTATACAATTTGCAATAAACCGTCCCTCACAAATTTGTTTCGTTGATTGATACCTACACAAAATTATCTTGAATCTTATCTCTAATGCTTTCAATTGTAAGATCGTAACACTGCTTCACGTAATTTTTGCGCGCAGTAGATTCATCCGGCACTTTGCACTGTGTATACTTCTCTATGAAGTTTCTAAGAGTAGGACTGGTTAGTTTTCACAGCTGAATATCTGCCACTAAAAAGGTTTTGCATAAATCAAAGGAAAACTGTAAAAAACTATTATTAGAAAATTCATTAAGCAATTTTTGAACAGGAGCACTTTTAGTGGATTTAATTTTAATATTCTCTTTGTGTATATTAGTATTCAAATGCTGAAGCACTTGAAAGTGTTTTTCACAACCGTTTTCTCACACGGTCAGCAATAAAGATTTTTGTGATCTGTACTTATCANATATGCAGTATAAAAAGAGATCTTCGAAAACATGATGCTTATTCATAAAACAGGCAAAATGTGCATTTATATGCACCTTCAAACCATGTCCAAAATTTAAGAAATGAAGTAATTCATACATATATCCAAATGAGCATACTTTCTGGTTGCAAGAAAGAAATATGCATTTGCATTAAAATTCGGTCCCTAGTTATAACGCATAAATTGCTGGAACCAGGGAAGTGAAATTTTGTAAGATCACAAACATACCTATTTTTCTTAATTGTTTTATGTTAACCCTGTAGCTGGGTCTCAAAAGACATTCCTTCATGGTTCAACGACAAACATGACGGGCATCACATGCCACTATTTACTCTGATTTCAATTGGGTATAGCACCCAAGCATAATGAGCTAGAGAGTTGCAATTTTCACCACTGTAATAGGTGTAATATTTTTCTCTATATGGGGGCACTAGTCCTGATACTGACGGTGTTGCTATGTAACAGTATCTTATACGTAATGAATCCTTTCCATCCAAATTGCCTAAGTGCTGAAATCTACAAACAGGACACCTACACAGCTCATATGTTATCTCCCCTTAAAAAACCTAAGCTCTAATTATACTGACTTGACAATTTCGCTGCTGTGAATTACTACCTTCATAGAAACATGACTATTACATAACCACAGAATTCTGGAAGTTACACCCAGCTGTTTGGTAAAATAAATTAGTTTCACGCTTACCCAGAGTTCCTGCTGCGGCTCCAAATCTCGCCTGTTGAAGAGGAGGCATATTTCCAACTACCCGCGGCTGTGGGGCAACCACTGCAACCCCCACATTAACCCCTTGTGGTCCAGCTGAGCCTCCTCCTGGAGGAACATAGCTATAGGGACTCCCTGCACTCATGGATTGACCCATCTGAGCCACAGAGGTCATGTTAGGTGCCTGAAACAAAAATACACTTTCATTAAGACAGTCCATGAACAAAACAATGGCAATGGATACTGTGACTGCAGAGAGACCACAACAGCAACAGCTATATCAAACAGCATGAAACATAAAATTAACTAAAGATGTGCCTCTCAATTTGTGAGGCATGGAGGGTTTCGTGTGAGGTATAAAGCAAAGGTGAAGCTATCTGGCTTAAACAGTTAAGTACCATGCCATTAAGATATATCTGAGAGTTAAGGTATACATCCACAGTTCTTAAACTACGCATCAGATGGAGGTGAGTGGTCAGCTTCATACCTGTCACTTCCCCACCCCCTAGTAACCACTGTATGGGAGATGGGGTGGGCCCCAGAGCCAGTCTGGATGTTATGGAGAACAGACGAATCTCTTGATCCTACTGGGAATTGAACTCAAGACTATTCAGCTGTCCAGCCCATAGCCTAGTCACTGCACCAAATGAGCTATCCAGGCTCCCTTATAAGTGAGGTATGTATTCATAAATTTGCTACTATCAAAACTACAGACGATTTTTAAAACACTTTCACTACATGTGAATCATACTTTATTCAAATCACGAAACAGGTTTCAATTATTTAGTCTTTTGACTGATTACACTCTTTGCAACAAAAATCAAACCCGTATTTCAAAACACTATTTTACTTCACCACATTCAACCGGTTAACATCGACAAAACAAATATCATGTTAACAATTTGACAAGTGGTTACTTTTTACATAAAATCCACTCTAAATTAATCCACATAAAGGTAAACATAAAGCTGACCCCATGCTTAACTAATTATGCACTATGCCATGAAGACATAAGGGGAGTGGATGTACAGACCCACGTTTCCTTGAACTCAGCACTATTGGAGGTGAGTGGTCAGCTTCATGCCCTGGCCGGTTTACCCCCAGGGAAAGAGCCCCCAGTACCCATTGGGTAGGAGGTTGGGTGGACCCCAGAGTCAGTCTGGACGACATGGAAATTAATCCACATACCTAAACGATTTAAAAAGAGGGCATAGATAAAGCCTTCATTTAAGGTTCCTCTAGAGGCAGAGAGAGATAAGCATTAAACTGAGCAAAATCTTAAAGAAAGTCAATCATACGACATGGGCCATCTACAGTGCCATGCCACTATAGAGCAGAGGGGATTTGTTACCAGAACTGTTAGCCACAAAGCTACAAGTACAGAAGGTGCAAAGGCAGCTAGTTAGGAATCACTAATCATGACAAAGGTGCAGGAAAAAAAGCCTTGTTTTATGCAATGATTTTCCATATGAACATTAAGAAATGACAGTTCCCATAATTTTTGTGCTGCTGCAACAAACGCTTTATAAAACACAGTCGACGTATCGTGGTTTCACCATATATGGAATGATAAATTGGACAGAACATAACAATCAACAAAACTAAGAGATGGGAATAAATTACAGAGAAATATAATTTCCACATCTTTGAACCCACTCAACTAAATCCAGAATCAAGAAAATAAAAATCATTTGAGCAAACAGATGGGCACAGTGTGAACAATCACAAAGAAAGAAAATAAAGAAAGGAAAATTTAAAAATGAGAAAAAATAGAATAGCAACTAAACTTCTCGGTCTCTGCACCAAGACAAGCACCATATTTTATATGCAAGATCTAAGGTTCTCACAGCTGTGTGATGCTGTATAGCCGTGATCATTTCCGAACTTTCATAGGAAAGCTGTGCCTTTGGATGCAGTTACTCCCTTCTCTAAAATCTGGTAACCTTATTCTCCTACCTTGCAGGTCTATGCAGTGTATTTCTCCAAAATGCTGGCAACAATCTACCATCTTTATCAACGTTACACATTCAGTATTGGTTTCTTGTTACAATCTAATACAAGGAAAAGGGATCAAGTTATGATAGTAATTTCCTTGTAAGTTTCATATCAAGTAATCGAAGAAAACTGGGCACCCATGTTTTAACTTTCTCCGTCTGGCTAACAGCATCAATCAATCCAACGTTACACACCTGCATGCGCTGCCCCACACTGATGCCTACAGTATGGACCTGATGAGGTGACTGGCCTCGGGCAACCAGATGTCCTTGTTGCTGCTGCTGCTGCTGTAGGGCCGCAGCTGCCACAACTGCTGCACGTGTGGCCAAGGGTCCATTTTGCATACCTTGCTGCGCCACACTATGCTGCACTGAATGATGCATGCTGCCACCACCACCAGAGGCATTCCCTCCCATCAAAGTTGGTACTGCTGTGAGGGGCTGCTTGTTGAGTGTATTGGTCACTAGACTACCTCCTCCAACCATACCCCCACCTCCTCCGATAGGATTCATTGGGCTACTTGTCATGACCATCCCTCCATTACTAGGCAGGCTACTCATGGCCACTGTTGAATTACTAATACTAGCCATGCTCATTGTACTAACCTGAAAAATAGAAAATGAACTGTGGGTTTTGGATTTTCTCTCTGAACACACTCTGAAGAATGTGAAGTAATTATGTTTTTATGATACACTTTCCTCGACAGTCGTTCACTTGGCAGCAATTAAGAAAAATAAACTGAAAGTCACCTATTACAATAGCAGTGACTTGAGAACATAAACATATATATATATAGTAAATTAGTTATTTAATGCTCCTCAATTTAAGGGTTCCCTTCATTCCACATTCAATTTAAATTATCTGAAGTCTATGGTTTAATGTAAAATTGTTTCCAGTTATTATATTGTCACGTGTTGGGTGTGTCACACGACAAATAACTTTGCGTGGGTGTCGGATTTAGCGAATCTTTATTGGGTACTCACCGTTGCACTCTTTACAATTATTATCAGTTGTCGTATCACTTGGTTTCTGACTCACTACTTGACTCTCAGTTCTCTAATAATCTAATACTCCAAACATGTTACAATATGGACCTTAGTTTAGCATTCCTATATACCGCAGCCTGAAGAAACCACAAGTGGAGCCAATTAAGGACAAAAATTCATGACTATTTTTACTCTTTACTTTATTATGTGGCTTATATATAATCTTTTACCCTTTAAGTAAGTTATCAGTTATGCCCTTGCGAAGATTTTTTGAAGTACAGTCTGGGCATGGCTCTACTTCACACTGCTTTCATAGATATTATGTTCTCTAACAAATTGATTAAAAGGGGCATTTCACTACAAATAACAGTAGCGACAAACAAATAAATGAAATTGAATGACGTAGGACACATTTTGAGACAAAAGAAGAATGAACAATGGTGTAAGTGCAGTAAAGTATCAGATAACAGACTAAGAATTACTGGCTTTTCAGACTTTGCCCATCATCTGGTATTCAAAAAAACTGGAGAACACAACATTTCTCAAAATGGATCTGGTTCCGTCCTCAGGTGAGGGGAAAGACACCTACTTTATTGCGTCCCTTACAAAGAGCTAACCTCAATCACTGGTTAACCCTTGTGAGATTCACTATAGCTATTTAAAAACCTGAGACCAGGCTATGTCAAATGGAGATAACAGGAAAATATGCAATAAAAAAATCGTGATAAAGCACGCATGTTCGTCAAGCTACGATAGAAAGGGAGGTAGACATTTATGCTACAAACCATGTCCATAAACACCTATGCACAGAAAAGGACAATTTGTGAAAACATAGAGTGCCTACTGCTAGTACCATTAGTGTGCATGAGACTAAAACCTTGTAGAAACCCATGAAGAAAGTCATATCATATAGATTTCTGTAAGGTGGTAATCTTACTGTTGGAAAGTGGGATGCAGATGGGAGAAATGTCTGAACTTAATCAGATTGGTTAAGCATGCTATCTGGGTGCAGGATAGGTCTCCCCACTCACATGAGGATGGAATGAAATCCAGTTTCCGGAATGTGTTTTCTGGTTTTTAGAATACCACACAATTGACAAAGTCTGAAAATCCAGTAATTTTGTGTTATATACCATCATCAGAACCCTTTAAAATTACTCATCAGACAATACAACAGACAAAGTTGCTATAAATGCAGGGGTGATGGCCAGCAAAGCTTGAAACCTATGTATGGATTGCTCTTTTTTTTTTTGTAGAACACGCAATATTACCGTTGTACTTACACAAGTTATATGACAGAAAAATGGCTGTCGGGCCCTGACTGGGACAGGATTATAAAACGTTATGAACAAAATGATAAAATATTCTGTACAATGTACTCCAGAAATTAATCAGATGTTTATATAATTTCTCGACCACATTTTTAATCATTCTGACATGTCTTACTGAAAAGCAACAACAACCACAACTTGAGAAATTAAACATTTTTATGTTTTTCTTGAATGACTAGGAATGACGCTACATTTAAAAAAAAATATTAAGTATATGTCATGTTCTTAGCTTAAAGTTATCAAAACTGACCTAAATTCTGCTCCCAGGACTTCCTGACTATGAAGCAGGATGCTTACTACTCAATTGTAAAGTTCAGTTAAAAGCACAACAATGCTACAAATGACTCTTACCATAGATGATGGTAGTCCAACACCCTGGACGCTGTTGGGAATTGAGGACATGGTCATGGTACCACTGGCTCCAGCTGGGTTGTTAGCTAGAGAACTTGCAATACTACTTGGAAGAAGGCTCCCTACAATTGGATCACCCACAACTACCCCACTCTTGCTCACTGAAACATTTGGTGGTGATTGCAAGCTCGGACTTTTGCTGCCTAATCCTCCAGCTGTCAATACCAAAGAGTTTGCTACTAGATTCTTGTTGCCCTAAAAACAAAATTACATGAAAATTAATTATTCCCTGGAGAATGAACACCACTAACAATAATGTACTACGTATAACACAAAACATAACATTAGAACTACCTAACTTTTCTTTTGTAGGATTTGAGATTCTCATAGCAGTGGTTATGAAGAGATAAATAGTTCCTATCTCTGCAATGTGGTGTCTGGAGATACGGACTAGCTCTAGCAATTAGGCCCAACCAAGTAGACTACACATTTTACCTGAGGCCAGAGGCAGAGTCTGTCTCTGAAATAGTTTTAAATAAAAAAACAGGAAGATGATTAATGTCCAAAAAGTCAGTAACTGTATTAGTATACCACTGTCACAAACTTTTATGGACCAAACTGGCTTTGACTGTCCATCATTTTCCAACACTGTCAGTAGCTGGACTATGTGGCTTTGAATGGAATGACAAACGCACAATTCATTGGAAGAAAGTGGTCATGGCAGGCTGCACCATAGCTCAAGCGGTTAGTCGCTGGCTTCGGTCTAGGGTCTGGTCAAGTGGGATCTGTGGTGGACAAAGTGGGGCTGGGGCAGGTTTTCTCTGAGTACATTGGTTTCGCCTGCCAATCTTCAATCCTCCAATTGCTCCACAAACACCCTCACCTATCATCTGGGGCTGGTACAATAGGCCAGAAGTGGCCGCAGTACAAGGGACTTAGTCCCACCCCACTAGCAAAAAAAAAAGAGAGAGAGAGGTGATGGCCTAAATACAGGTACTATCCCAACATCTGGCCAGAGACAATGGGAAAAACCAGTAAACCCCTCAGTCAGGATAGCCAGTGCCCAGGCTAAACTGAGCACCTCTCAAAACAAGTGTACAGCATTACCACTATGCCACATATTTGAACTTCCGGTCCAACAACGGACATAACAGGTAAATCTAAAAGAAAACCATGTCAAGATTACAGCAGAAAACCACACAAAATACTTTCAGATATGCTGAACTCTAGGCTAATCATTTTCGGACACTTTATTTACAATGTCATATTATTCCATTAGCACCTTATCAGAACACCATATTAACCCAAGACATGTCGGGACTTTTTCACAAAAGCCATTTGTACGCATTTTAGCCTAATTCAGAGCTCTTATGAAGAACAGGCATAAAAGATTTTATAAATGAGAACTGTAGAATTTGAAACAATTTCAAGAAAAGATATTAATCCAAATACAAAGATGGATAGGAACAAAAAATAATGATAATGCTAGGTACATGTGTGTGTACAATTTTGAAAATCACAAATCAAATTTTGTAACACATAAGCACAACAACTATTCTAATGAAGAACACCCTGATTCAATATTTCTCACTTCAGTGGCTAAAATACTGTGGTCAAATCAACTTTCTACATGAGAGAGAATACGGATGGTCTGAAGCACAAATATAGTACATACACTTTCAGACAATTCCAAATTACTGTTTTCCCTTGACTGTTGGCTATATTATCTGTGATCTGTACAAATACCAGTCCATGAATAAGACCACCAAGGTCATGGTATAAAGATTAAGGAACACTACACATCACACCAAAACAATACATTGGTGCACCTTTAATGTGAGTCCTCTAAGAACTATGTATATTGAACACACAATATTTACACATCAAACCATTACTATAATCCCTCACGTATCCTTCAACATTACCACCACAGAATTTGCTGTACTGCTCATGATCCACGATGCAAGAACAGAACACTTGCAGGCAGTTAACTCTACATAATCTAGAGGGTACACAATAAGCAGGCAGAACTGCCATCAAGCGGCTGGATTCAGCTGAAGACGTGAAGACAATGAGCATTACAAACTGAAGACAAAAGTCACAGGATAGGGCCCTATGGAGAGCAATGGTACAAGAGGCCACGTTCATCATGGACTATAGCACCTGCAGAAGATCATGATGCACACCAACCTCAGTTATGTATGATACACATTACTGTGTTCAAATGCACACTAATGCCATCCAGCAAATACACTGCTTAGCAATCATGACTAGTCCTGTAAAAACATCATAACAGCAGTGTGTATATACTCTGATCAACACAGCAATGTCCATCTGTGTAGGACACAAATCAGAAACCACAACTGTGGATGAGATCGGCAAATGGACATTTCAATTTTGCTTCCAATGAAAGTGATGATGGTGATAATACGAGGGTGAGTCAAATGAAAACTGTATTTTTTTAAAATTTAATTTACTGAATGAAAGCGGTACACAACTGTATCATTTTTCTACATAGTCTCCATTTCGTTCAATACAGGCCCTCTAGTTTTTACAAAGTGTGTAGATTCCTCTAGAAACTAATTCTTGCGGTTGTCTGGGCAACCACTCTTGCACCGCCTGCTGTATCTCTTCATCAGAATGGAACTTCTCCCTTCCCATTGCCTCTTTGAGTGGCCCAAACATGTGGTAATCGTTGGGGATAGGTCTGGTGAGTATGGTGGATGTGAAGACACTCAAAGTGCAAGTCTTGGATTGTTGCAACTGTTGCATGAGCAGTATGGGGCCGAGCATTGTCATGTTGCAAAAGGACACCTCTAGTCAAAAGTTCACGTCCCTTTTATCTGACCACAGGTTGAAGATGATTCTTCAAGAGATCTGAATATGAGGCACTAGTGATAGTGTTCCCCTGATGTGTGTAGTGCTCCAAGAGTACACCTCGTTCATCCCAAAAGAGAGTCAGCATAATCTTCCCTGCAGATGGCTGTGTCTAGAACTTCTTGGGTTCTGGAGACGAGGAATGATGCCATTCCTTGCTTGTTCTCTTTGTTTCTGGTTGGTGGTAGTGCACCCAAGTTTCATCACTTTCTGCTTCAAGGCGCCGCAGAAGTTCTTCACAGGCGTCAACATGTTGTTTCAATGCTGGAGTCAGCTGCCGTGACACCACCTCGCAGACACTTTGCGAAACTGGAGCACATCATGAATGGCATGGTGTGCTGATCCATGACTCATGTTAAGAATTTCGGCTATTTCATCCACCGACACTTGGCGATTCTCCATCACTAGGGCTTCAACTGCTGCAATGGGCTCAGGGGTCACACCTCTGTGCACCTGACCTGGGCGAGGAGCGTCTGCCAAAGACGTCACACCATTTCTGAAATTCCTACTCCACTCGTACACTTGCTGCTGTGACAAACACGCATCACCATACTGAACCTTCATTTGTCAATGAACTTCAATCGGTTTCACACCTTCAATGATCAAAAGTCGAATTACAGAACGTTGTTCTCCTTTCGCGCATGTACGTAGTGGAGCAGCCATCTTCAAACTGGCACTGTGATGGTGTTCTGTTTGTCTGCTTTATACGGCCACCTATAGGATACTCTTTATAGCACTGGTAACATGTCTGCCAACTTACAGGACAATGGCGCGATATTTAGAATTTTTATGTGTATTACAGTTTTCATTTGACTCACCTATGTATTAATACACAGGACCAACCACAATTTAACCTCTGTATTTTTCACATATACAAAGTCAGAGATAACAGAAGAGAAAGGCATACAGAAATATCCCCACTGGATCAGGCTGATCTCAAACATGAGAGCTTCTGCATGGAACGTCAGACTTGATCCTAGACCACAAAATCCTCTCACCATTCAATATGAGAACATTCTATATAAAAAATGATTTCTGAAACTGATATGTGCTAGATCTGAGGCTCTCACAGCGAGAACTATAAACAGTCTTCTGGGGGATGTTATACCATGTGGTCTGTTTAAAAGTGTATTGACATTTTGGAGTAACATATTGCCTCTGTATTCACGGTCAAAGCATAGGCCAAGCTAGCACCAAACATAGGCTTCCTTGTTGTGTGTTTTGCCTACTCTGTTCTGCCAGACTATACAGCACCACATTCCAGAAAACAGCACACCCCCTTTAATCCATGTATTCGGCCAACATTCACCATATATAAAAAGTAACAATGTAGTAGTTATAGGATATGAAACTACTATTTATTGCTGACTCTAACAAGCATGTTTTGCTGTAACTTTAAGTAAAACTATGCCTGCACCAAATACAACATACAATGAAGATGTACAGAAAAGCAGAGGTGCGGGTCTACGCATTCCTGACACTGGCAATGGATGGAGTTAAGATGTCAACTTTCACTCGTCTGTTTTACGCAAAGAAAAGCTCACTCTATCTACTGCATGGGTGGTTGGGCAGGTCCCATAGTTGGATTTCGATGTGGTGAAAAGACAAGNTCAAATCTTACAAGTACTTTTTGTTTCCTCCTAGCAATAAAACCCAGGTCATTAAGCATACAGCCAGTTTTCATACTAAGCTTCAATAACCCATACATTTTCCTGTGCTGATTCATATATTCTACAAATAAATTCACATTCTTAACAGCAGTTTTTTAAATATATATAAATGTGATGCCGCTAAAGCATGTGAAGAGTTTGATACACATGCATTGCATGTGGTGTGGTAACTGCATTTACCCTCTATTCCACGCTGCCCCCAAGAAACAGTTTTACTGCAACTTGATGTAGAGAGTTCAGCAGCTGTCACTGCTGGAAGCATTTACGTAAGTCCTGCATTTTGAACTCAACAAGTGCAATCTGCAGTTGTTCTTGAATCATGAATCTCCTCCCCTTCTTTGGTATTACCTTGGGTTTTGGAAAAAGTAAGGTCACACAGGGAACTGTGGCTTTTCCTGAAGATATTCTGGAATGTCCTAACACACTGACAAAATTCTACTTGTGCTTGCCTGTGAGCAGAACAGGTATGAATTTGCAGTAATTTGTTGCATGTTCAAGTCTACAGAACATATGATATTCTGACCTCAACAACAAAGTCACACATAATGACATAGCGTTCTCAAGAAAAGTTCTTTGATTGTGACACATTTCCTTCTGTTTTGTTCATGGATGGATATCATGAATATTCAGCACCATTAACTCAAGTCACTTCACTTCTGAGCTTGAACAACAAATAAAATGTCTTGAGTTCTGCTCAGTGCTTCCTCTCTGACAGGAAGTATCAACAGACTGTAAGACTGCAAAAGCAGTTCTGCCTAATTTGAAGCAGAATCTTATGTATGCACACTGGTCTTTCAAATGAGCTATCTTTTGGCAAAACACACAGAAAAACAAACATTTCATAAGGAGTTACTTCTGAATGACAGAAGCTCCAACTTTTTAATGGATTGTATATCACTATGCAAAATATACTCTACCTCCACCTACAAGAGGAAATACATCCTAACTGCAATGTGCCACAGTGCCGCCAGCTGAGAAACTGATCACACCACATACAAGATCCAAAAAAAAACCTTATGCATAATCAAACTCTGATAAGTACAAAAATACATGATCCTTACCTGCTGCTGCATGAGATGATGGGAGAGTTGTTGCTGCGTTACATGCTGCTGTTGCTGGCGCTGAGGATCAGGTTGCTGTGGCTGTTGCTGCTGTTGGTCCACAGCACCATTCTGAAGACCTGGTCCACCTGCACCAGGCTGAGGTTGCTGCTGATTCTGTGGTGGCTGGCCTGGGCCAGGCCCAGGCCCTGGTCCTGTGGCAGGAGGCTTGCTACTTGCTGTTGGTTCCACTGCACTACCCCATGACCCTGACGTCATCAGTTCATCCGGAAGATCATTTTCCAGGTCAAACATATCCATGTTGGTAAACTGGTCTGAATCAACAAAAACATATACAATCATCTCCTGCGTTCACAATTTTAAAATGCTGTATCTTCACACACAAGAACTGTGAGACTGTTAATTTTCAGTAGAAACGTGTTGGGCCCATAACTCAGAGGAATGTGGATCAAAACCATGCTCTGCTACAAGTTAGCAGCTACTCCTGTCTTTACATCCACTTCTACTTGCAGAAAGTTTGCTGCTTCATCTCTGGTTCAGTTGTGCTTACGGTGCTCCCTAGATTGGATGGGTAACCATGCTCATGCGGAGAACAGAAAGTTTAAATTACATATAACCCAACTATTTACTTCAACAATTGGTTCAAAAGGATCTCCAACATAGACCCCCCACCCAAGAAGAGTACAAAATAACAACTCAAAATGTAACAGTATGCATACTTGAAGTGTATGCCAACAAATGAATTTACAAAGAACACAAGAAAACTCAGGATGATGGAAAAAATAATGCTGAAGCAGAATTGAACTGAAACGAATTTCCCGTTCTAGAAAATATGATTTTCAATAAGACAACAAAACTCTGACTCCTCGGGTCGACATGAAACAAACCTAGACAACATTATGTAACCCGTTCAAACATGTCTAACACAGACTGAGATATCGAGAAACATTGTGTAAAAACAATATCCATGAAACTTGACACACAAATTGTAATTCTATGCAACACTTCTTTTTTCTTGAATGTTTAAAAAGGCTTTCAAAATAAATCATTATGCAGCATACCTACACCTGAACTTATGCCTCCTGTTGCAACAACTCTCTTTCTCAAATCAGCCTCGGTCACCACACCAAAAATGTAATTCAGAAAATGCATGAGATCCTGACCAAATCTAGTGTCTAACCTTGCCAACTGACAGTAAGCAACTAAGACGGGGCCTAGATGTCAAAACCCGGGTAGCCCATCATTCTCCAAAGCAAAAAGGGAGGAGGCCATGTAACAGATAAGATTATGGGGCTTGAAATTGGAAATATGTCTTGACACAGATATCATGGCCAGGAGGGGGGATGACGAGAATGGAATACCAAATGGATAAGGACACACCAGAGCCATGGAATAAAGGACATGGCTTACGTGAAACAGACGACGGTATATATTTCAGGAGTAGCATCAGGTTTCTTTACCAGTTTCCCGCTGTAATTGTAATACAGGGCAAAACATGTACTTTCAGATTCTAATATCTACTGAAATATTTGCAGCACAAATTCTCAAATCTGGCCCATACAAATAATCTAACTATATATAATAGGCTAGTCTTGTCATGCTTCACGGTAGCTCTATTGCTAAATGCAAGAAAACACAAAGATATTTACACAATCACATAATGGCCCAATGGGGCATCAGTGCTACAATGCAACATGTGGTTTCCATCACAGATTCTTTTGGCACAAAGTGATAAGAGGGAAGGGAAAGGATTGCAGTAGGAAGGGGCTAGGAGATACAGACAAGAAACTGTGTAAGAGACCTCCCACTGAATTTTCAATTGTCGTTACACTCGCAGAATTGTGCGGACTATACATAAAAATCCAACAGCTGCACAGCTGCAAGGATAAAAAGATTTAAATGCATGAAATGTTACAATTAGGCGATGGCTAGCAAGAGGAAACCATTAAATTAAACTGCAATTTAAGCGAGACACGAATTCCCAGATGCGGCAACAGGCATTAATATTTCCCTCACAAATCCCTTAGGTGTCTCGCAGAGGAGACCAGGGTTTAAAGTTTCGGGTCTGAAGATGGCTCTACTTCCGAAAAGAAACAACACATGAATGCAAACATTTCACATAAGTGCAATGAATGTATGCATAACAGGGGCCATTTATGGCATTTACTGTGATCTGAGTGGACTCTGTATGTGATCTGCTCACCCCTGGTCTTGTTGACTGTGCTGCAGGTCTCATCATACTCGGAAAGAGTGCACAATATCAGTCTCTCTTCTGCAAGAGTGTACAAGTGATCTGGGGGAAGCCCTCAGACACACGCCTTGTACATGGTACAAGGCATATGCCTACTACAATTGATTCAATAAGCAACAATGGTCTTCTGAACGTACATTAACATTACCAAATAATCAAAAGAATTTTATGAACACACCTGAAGCCTTTTATTCTCCATAATAATTAAACGAAGTTTTGTCCCACAGAATTCTTGAGTCTACAGGAAGTGACCTATATAAGTTTTATACTGAATTAAAATATATAACCTAAGAGCAAAATTACTTGTTGAGCTTATCTGAATAAACACTTGAACATTTCAGCATACTGCAATTAGAGCAAGGAAGTTGGGATGCCATTTGTAGGTAACTCCTGCCAAATACATGCTATATAATTTAAAATCTTGTTTGATCATTACTTTATGTACCGATGTGTCCTTTATGTTATATAATTCTTGCAGGTAAGAGGTTAATTTGGACAGCAATGCCCCAAGAGCATCAATCACCATCATACTTTCTGTTAACATGAACAGATTTTCTACTTTTACACTCTTCATCACAAGCATGCAATGCCTTCAATCACCCTGATGAGAGCCAACAGTACCCTTACTTTTCTTCACATGTAATGTGACAATCAGTTCATGTAGTCGTCTTAATAGAAAAGCCTTTTCTACATTTTTACTGACCATACAGCTTAAGGACTTCATGCAATATTCTAACCTCCAGGTTCAGTTCAATGGGCTTATTACAAGAATTAAAATACAACAAAGAAGCCTTAGTCCCTTGGCTGATCATAAATATTGTTCTCAGCTCATGTCAAAACAAGCAATGAAATAAAAAATGTTATTTATGTAAATATGTCCATGATGGTCTTCAACAACAAACAGTTGATGGTTAACTCTTAAGAAATTAAGGTTATGTAATGAAAAAAGTAATAAAATTCCTTTGGCATGGACCTAAAGTTAAGGAGCTAACTCGAGATTATTTGCTGCTATTAATGCCTTTGTCTGTCACAATATGAAAATAAAGGATAAAATTGGAAACCACCATGGTCAAAGAGACAGGCTCAATGTTAGTCAATTAGTACAGCATTTGGTATCAGATGTCATCAAATGTGACATACTACTGTTTAGAGGAAAGAATGGGCATGAAATACACCTGTTGTTATTCAGAAGTCATTTAAATGAAGTATTCTGGGTTTTTCTATGCAACTACAGTCACCACCAAGCAGCCTTGGCATTTCTAGCTGTAGTTCTAGGGCAGGGTATGGCCGTTAGAGGGTCAAAATCTGTTATTACCGGATGATAATGACTGAACACCTCTGGTAGTGATGTGATAAAAATGGCACATCCAGCATGCAGATGGTCAGAGAATTTACACACACAAAAAAATTATCCTCCATGGAAATAGTACAAATACCAGAACACTGCAATGGAACCTGGACTGTTTTCACTTAAGTCCCACTGATAACAAACCCAACTAGAGAAATAAGTGTTAACGATTATTAACTGGAGGTCTGAAACTACACAAAGCATGTGCTTAGGCCGGCATAAAAACTAGACCAATTCTGAAACAAAATCATAACCATAGTTATGCATGGCACAATGTTTCCAGGATCCTTTTCAGTATTATCAAAGGCATGTTCTTAATGGAAGGTATCAAATGTATAAGCAACTAGCATCTGCAACTGCACAAATTAACATTTCAACCTCTAATTATTTTTCATTATAGCTACTGTTGTTGTAATGCATAATCTGAGTTTATCAGTCTGGATCTTTGTCTCTGAAAGACAATTTTCAATTCAATATGGGAAAATTGTTTATCAAATTTAATTTGTGGGCATTCTATCAAACTATATCCCATACATTACATAAAGTACAAGCTAAAAATACATCAAACATCTAAAAAAAAATCAAATAACAGCACAAATTAAACGAATGCGGTGGGGGAGTAGAATTACGATAGCATCACAATGTCCACATCTCTCCCTCATTTAATTTTGAGCCAATAAAGTGATGTGACGCCGGTCACGGTAGCCGAGCGGTCTAAGGCGTGCACTGTTTTCGCCCGCTTGGAAGGCGGACTCGTGGGTTTGAATCTCACTCAGGGCATGGATGTTTGTGTGCGTTTTTCTGTGTCTGTATACAGGTAGAGGCCTTGCGACAAGCTGATCACCCACCCAAGGAGTCCTACCGAATGGCTAAGATCTAGAAAAACCGAAGTGAACAGAGAAGTTCATGGAGGTAGGCCTAGGCCCACTGGGGCTGTAGTGCCAAGGGGGAAAAAAAAGTGATGTGACATTTCAGATACTTGCTGTGGTCACTATGAAGATTTCTGTCTTCATGGGATGTGAGGGAATGTACCATGGCAGATGTTTACCAGTGTTTCAAAGGAATGTGCTGTCTCCATCCTCATGACAATTAATTCATTTTTCCACCCAAGACAGGGGCAACACATTCCTCCAAAACATCGGTAAACATCTACCACATTATACAGTGCCACAGCGCAGAAGACGGTTATATTCAACAAACCAATTTCTACAATATATGGAGAGAACATTCTATCACTGGAGACTATTGCAACTTCATAACTTTTAAGGTTAGTTCTCTGGGATGTGCTGTGTGGTTTGGTAGACAGGCACCACTTCCATCTTCAAGGTAGAGCAATACTCTACTTCTACCCTGAAGTTGGAGGCGGCAGATTTCGTCCCAAATGTTGGTCCCTGTCTACAAACTATACAGAATCAAATCAAAGAAGATCATTAATTCAATACTCACAAATAGAACCTTAAATTGTGATTTCCTATAATCAGAAACGTGGCAAACGTACAAATCTGAGGTAAGTGAAATGGGAACCACTTTACACATAATCTAGTAACCATGCACAGTTACAGAACTTTAAAAATACATAACAGTTATTATGATAATATTTCTGAAGATAAAAAACATGGCAGTCATGCAAAACTTTTAATCATTTTCAGTTTAACAGTGATAGCTAAAAATACAGTGAAAATAAAATTATAAAATCAGCTATGAAGACAGATTAT